TATTTATTTATCCATCCGTCCGTCCGTCCATCCACCCATCCATCGATCGGAATTATATTTCACCTTTTCATATGTCTAGAAAAGCTTAATGAAGACACTTTAAAATCAATTAAAACATAGATACTGTAACTAAGAACTTGATACAAAACAGATCACAGAACAGCAGAATGAAAATTTATAAAAATCCAACTAATTTATATTAACAAACTGAAAATTGATGTAATCACAAATACAATTGATTTGAATTAAATTTGATTTAATTAAGCCTCTGCGTAAACATGCTTAGGGTTACTTTATAAAACTACAAACCTATGCATACCTATTGCAGATTGTCTCTTTCAATTCAGAAGATGAGAATGAGATTGATACCAAAAAGACTAAAAAAGAACAGGCAAACGTATCTGAAGTAGATCCAGAATCCAAAGACCACAATAATTCCAAAATATATCCGGCATTACTATTATGACTGTAGCAAATAATTTTACAGAACACACTTTAGTGACTCAAAGAGTAAAACAATCACATCTGATAATTATGACAAGATATTCACAAACTTACAATGCTTTGATCATTAAACTCTTTGAAAAAAAATCAGACAATACAGTCATATCTAATTTGCAAAATAATGTTTGAAAGACTTCCTTCCAAGGCTATTTAGTTCAGTATATTTTGCTTCTTTGGAACATGTCCTGAAAAAGTAATGGGAATGGAGTTGGGGTAAGTATATGAAACAAAGAATGGTACTAATGAGAAACACCAATTTTCATGCTGATGTCTCAATATTCAGCAAAGCTTTAAAAAGACATGTATAAATGTGCAAGTATTTGCCCACTTAAAAGAAAACAAACCTAGGAAAAGGAAAAATGTTGCTAGAGGTAACATACTACTTTGAAAAAGTTTTAAATGGTTTTCAATCAAACTTCTAATTAACAAGTTCTGTTCCACACTTGAATTAATAAAAACCAAAAGCATAATAATAATGAGCAGCTAAGAAAATTTGCCTCTTTGTGTTTTCATAGACTTGAAATATTTCATTAATTTTTTCATCAAAAGAATAGTTTATCTGCATTTTTTGCATTATTAATGTTATGCTACAATAACACTGTTAATGCAGTTTCATTATTTCTACTTCAATGAAACACACACAAGAATGTGTGCGTACTGCTTGCTTCTGGATTTCCGCAAGCTTGAAAGCAATCACTCCTCTTCAAATTAAAGAATGGGGAAAATGTACCACTTTCATAAATCTGATTTCTCTTTCTGTTTCTGCAGACTGATTTCTTCATAAAGTAGCTGCCTGAACTTCAGCATATCTTCTACATCTTTGTACTGAAGGATTTCTTCAACAGACAAGAGCTTAAAACCATTCAATTTAAAAGGTGCCTTGTTCTGAACGGAGTTTAAAATCCCTAATGACATTTTCACTGAATCACTTACAGTGGAGCAAACTGGGAAAATTCGCACTGTCCATAAACTCAGACCTACTCCGACACCAGAAAACAGCTCATGTGAAACTTTCAGACCCCAGAGCTCCAAGAACAGACTGAGGCTGGTTCCAAAAAACCTTAGTAAGTGTGTCTCTGCTACATTAGTCACATTCTTTTTCAAGTTATCTTCTATGCCAAACACCATACTCACATACATTAATTCTTCATCAATCCTCACACTTAGTGTTGCCATGAAGGTGTCTGATGGGATGTCTGCTTTGGTGTCAATACAACATCCACTGATAATGCAGTTAGTTCCCACTGACACCTCAGGCCCCAGCCTGGAGTATTCAAGGAGTGAGCCAGGTATAACAGAACACCCGGAGCTTAGTATACTGTGAATGATACATGCTGATTTCCCAAAGTCTTCTGTGCTGTTAGGGCAGATGCTAAAAACATCTGGCAGCAAACCCATTTCCATTTTCAGCTTTCTGTCAGAAGTAAAATGAAACAAACACTCACGGGTAGTCCCAATGTGATAGAATTTAGAATTATTTAGAAGAATAACATTGAGAGGCAGTCCATTAAGAAGAGTAAATAACTTCTCCCTTATTTCCATTACACACGATTCTCCTTGTATGTCATTCTCCAGGTATTTTGTGTAGTCTTTTGTTGCTCCAGACCCTAATGCTTGAAGAAAGTCACCATAAGCATCTATTTCACAGCAAAGTGTGCCTACTTGTTTATAAAATGTCAGCAATAATTTCGCAGTGCTATGATCAATGTAAAATAGACTATCCGTATACACGTATTCAGAAACTGCTGCTAAATGTCCAAGTTCTCTAAGAGGATTGGATGCCTGAGAATTATCCATTTTATGTACTGCACCAAACTGGTGCATATTTTCAACGATAGGCTTGTGCAGGAAACGTTGACAAGTTCTGTATTCAACTTCTCCCTTTTGAGTCCCACACAATGGTGGATCCAACACAAATACACCATGGGTTGTACCAATGGTTAAACTAGAAGGATGGGCTAATGCTGTAAATCCAGGCTGATTAAACCTTATGCATTCCATTGTGCCAATATGATAAAGTTCAATATCATCTGCGCAAGTAATCAAAATACCTGGATTCATATAGGTGGGAAAATCAATGTACATTGCCAGTTTTAAATCCAACATTTGATAAACTGGGTTCCCAAAAGGCAAAGCTGTAAAAATTTTTCCCAAGGCACTCGCATTTGGTAAACGTTGACTATATCCACCTTTAGAAACAAAGAAGAAACAAACAAACAACTCACATAAAGTATACATGCTGAGAGCTTAAAGAGTTTCACTCAAGGGTGTTTCAGACATCAAATGCAACAATTGTTTTTGATGAAATTATCTTGGGAACATGGAGAAAATTTTATTGTCAAGCTTTTGGGATAATCAACTGCCAAAACAATGTAGAAGCAGAGAAAGAAGATGTTTAAAGTCACCAAAAATGATTTAAAAAAAGAGAGAGGACATTAAGAGACCGTTTCAATTTCACTAGTGCGGCAATGACAAACACAACCATGAAGGCAAACTTTCATGTTATGGTTTGTTGAGGATAACATGTTGCCTTGTCCTAATGTGAAACCTCTTCTTTATTTCTGAACTGTAAAAAGGTTTTAGATAGGGTTTGTGTGTGTCTCTCTGTGTGTGTTGGGGGGGAATATGACAAGAGAAAAATCAGTAAAGGGAAGCAGGACCAGCTGGCAGAAAATTTCCAAAAATCCATAGCTAACACTCTGTTCAATATTCTATTGTTCACAAAAAATGTTGTGCATGCTCTAAATGACAGAAGAGATGCAAAAGAAAAATAAACAAGCTGAAGAAATCCTTCTTTAATGGACTTCCAAGTACAGTACTTCAAAACGAATCAAGAAAAACATATGACATCAGCGTAACTTGCATGGAGATTGCACAACAGTTGTGAGAAATAACTATGACTGTTGCCAAGTCAGTTTGACTCAGGAAAGGTTGTAACCCTTTCATTGAACAGGTGAAATCCCAATCCATGACTCTGATTTACTACTGCCAAGCAGCACATCCATCAGGATTTAATTTCATCTTAATCAGCCTAAGCCAGCCCATTATCAATCTAAAATAGTATGTAAGGGACTGCACCCTTGGTATTAAGTGGTAAGAAGCAACAAAGCTGGGTGTCATAAGTATACTGGCAGCATCTCATTCCAAAGCTTTGAATGACTTCTCAAAGCGGTTTCATGCACATATTAAGAGCCCCAAGGGACACTGCATGGTGTCAAACAGAACATTGTCAACAATTATGTCAAATAGTGCATCCTCAGCATCATCTCTTGAGTATATTGTGAGATGATTGGAACCACTATACTAGAGTGGTCATTTAAAAAAAATTATGCATTTAAGAAACACAAGAAATGTTAGTGAACCCCACCAGATACTCCCAAACTTACTCAAAGTAAGGTTTTTTTTAAAAAAATCCTGTTACATGAAGATTAATGAACACTCCCAAGACAGTGGTGATTATTTTCCAATGCAATGCAAACCTCATCACATACTGGAGATCACATGAGATCTTGGTAATTACCATCGTGCATCAGAAGTGAATTGTACACTCTCTTTTTCAACTTTAGAATTACTATGTTTAAGATTTTGTTGGATGGTGATAATAAACTCCTACATCCCTTCTTTCTTGACCTGCCAAGGACTTTTGAGAACAATTTTTATACTTTCCACAGTTGATCATACTGAGGATGATTAGACTTATATAAGCCAAACTAATGGTGTCTAATTTACTGGCAAGGAAAACACCAATTCACCGTCAGTGCTTTTCAAACCTCAAGAAAAAAATTCCCCCACATTTTAAAAAATCCCTTCACACTCTATATAACATAAGAGAAGCTTTATTTTAAGGAAAACATTACCAGAATGGATTAATAGGATGGTGAGAGAACCCCACTGATCACCATAATGTTCTTCCAAGCACTTAAGGACATGAAGTGTTGATCCACCATTTCCTACAAAATATTCCAACACATATTTCAATTTAGAAAGAATGACAAGATGAAATAATTAACAAGTCACTGATATTCTGATCACTTAACTGGAGTATAAGACCACTGAACTGGGCTCAATTGTGATAGACTGAAGAGAGATGACTTTTTGGTGGTGGTAAGTAAATAATGTTGATTCAAATTCTCACAAAGTTGTCATGTTTACTGGATGAACTTGATCCTGACACCATCTTTTGGTCTATTTACTGCACCGGTTATCATGAAGATAAAAATGAGACAGCCCTTATCCTGCTCTGAGGAAGAAAAGTGGAATATAACTGTGAAAAATAAAATTCATTGGACAGAATTCTATTGATGGTTATGTAAGGCTTGCATAATTTGTCATGGTTAATTGTAGCTAATTAACAAGGTGTTAGGACATATCTCTGTCCATTGCCTGGTTATACAACTAAGATGCACTCTGGCACCTTGTCAATTAGCTACTGTTAGCCATGGCTAATGTCACAATCCCTATGCAAATACCAAAAGATTTCAGCCATTTTCACAGAAGTGAAAATATCACACAAGTTTTTGCTATAACATTGTTTTTGTAGATATGTCAGTTAGATTTGATCAGGTCTGCTTACTTCATTAACACAATGCTAAGGGCCAGAAAAGGATAAAAATAATCATGCCACATTTTCCCCTTCTTCTCACACAATTAATCTTGCAGCAAGTTGAAGACCAGGGACAAAAAGGGAAGGCTGACATAAGGGAAGGGAACATTTACATGATTGCTATTCTATTTACCAATAGGATTCTGGCCAAACTACTTGGATGTTGGTGAATCTATATACATAACTTTTCAAATCAGTTTTCAGGCTCAGGCCAAGTTAAAACTAATGCTGCAATGTTTACAAAAGACCAAAACAACAGCCCCGTGTCCAGTCCTGTTCTTCTTCCTAATATGTTTACTAAGGGAAATAGTTTCATAACCATACAATCTGCCATGAATCATCATCATCATCATCACGATAATCTTTAATGAATCTAAATTAATTAAAAATAACACCCAGCTTATTAATACTCATGTGAGTCAGATATTTGAATCAGAAGACACACTATCATAGTATTTGAACATATTTTTGGAAGTTTAATTAATATAATTCAACTTCTGATGGGATTCTGCAAATCTTCCAGTAAAAGAGATACAGCTGTCATAATATGCAGATAGAAAAAGGTGAACCTTTTTATCTCTCTGAAAAGCAAATTTTGCTAAATATTTAAATGACAACAGGCTCATTTTCTGCTTAACAGATGCCTGGAAAATTAAGGTACTGTACTTGAAAATAGGGCTGTGGCATCAGTTTTTTTTTTTTATTCCAACTCCTAGAATTTTCCAAGAATTTTCCAAGCAGAATTCTGGGAGCTCCAGGCCACAGATACACACCTACAGATACCTATGTTTCACTCAATCTTGCTGGTCTTTGACAGTAATAAAGTTAATGAATATGTTTCACTCAACTGGAACAGGGCCTATCTCAGACACTTCAGATACCTTTATTTCCTGTTGTTAACGCCCGTATCTAGATGTTGGGTTGCTCACCACTCTGGTCCATGCATTCGTAATCTCAAGATTAGACCACTGTAATGCTATGTGGGGCTGCCTTTGAGATCTATGTGGAAACTCCAGATGGTGCAGAATGCGGCGGCCAGACTTCTTACTGGGGTAAGAAAATATCAATATATTACTCCCACTCTGGCCGCCTTGCACTGGCTAGCCCATCTGGTTCCAGTTAGATTTCAAAGTTTTAACGCTTATGCATAAAGCCCTAAACGGTTTAGGGCCTCGTTACCTGACAGAACGCCTTCTCCCACCTAGGTCTACCCTTATTACCCGATCTAGCCAGGAGGTGAGACTGAGGAGCATAATGCCAAGGGAGGCCCGGAAGGAAAAAACAAGAAACCAGGCCTTCTCGACAGTGGCTCCTTGTCTTTGGAATAGCCTCCCTCCTGAGATTCGCATGGCCCCTTCCCTGGGTATCTTCAAACGCCAAGTGAAAACCTGGCTATTCAAGCAAGCCTTTCCTCCATCCACCACCTGATTTGTTCTCTTGCCTCTCCTATCTGGATCTTTGCGTTTTAGTAATATGTTATGTTTTTAAATTGTACTTAGATTTGATACGTTGTCACCCACCCAGAGTAGTCGGTACGACTAGTTGGGCGGGCTATAAATTTAACAAATAAATAAATAAATGTGCAAAAAGGGAAACTGACCCAGTGCTTCCTGGGAGGCCTAGGTCTTCATAGGAGGTGTGATCTCACTGCCCATTATGCTCTTAGAGATGTAGACCTACACATCCCACATGTGTCTCTTAGGATACACTGGAGCAGTTTCTTCTTTTGCACATTGACAACAGGCTACAGAAGGCTGAGCAGGAGGCCAGGTTCCTGGTCAGAAAAGTGTAGTTGTCTTTAGTGGTGGACTGTGGGTGGAATTCACAGAATTCTGTCCAGGAAATTCTTGGACAATTCGAAGTCCAAGAAAAAAAAAGAAAAAGAACAAAAGAAAGGGGAAAGAAAAAACAAACGGAAAAAGCACACCACTAGATGCAAACGTGAGGCACAAATAGGCAAAGCCAGGGACATTTTATCTAGCAATCTGAATGAAAGAATGGAAGTGCTTAATTTAGCTGGGATTATGCTTTTCATTTTATAATTTCCCACAAAGAATATACCCGTTAAATTCAAATATTTAAAAAGGAATGCTTTAAGAACCCACCAATTTTTGGTCCAGGAGGATCAACAAAAACATGATAATGAACACCAAGGGGCAGCTCCTTTCTTTTTAATTTGGCTGATAACTGTTGCTGATAAGCTATTTCTTGCTTTTTGTCAACTGCTGTTATGACAACAGCATCCCAGAATTTTCCGCTCTCCACAGTTTTACCTGTTTGAAAATGCAACATTTTATTATAAGTGATACAAAAGTGAGAAAATGCTTTAAAACAATCATTTCCCCTACATAGTACAGAGCTCTTGGTTCCCACTCCCACCTTACTGGACTATACAGCTTGTCAGGCAATCTGTCCTCCCTCCCCACTATGTACCACTTATCTTGACTGACATTTCCTCCATAGTCCTTTAAAAGTTCTAATTACAGATTGCGATAAACTATTGCTCTTCACACATCTGTGCTTCTTTTTTGGCTTCAGAGCTTCAACAATTTTATGTTCAGGCTCTCTTTTAAGCTGGTCCTTCTTCCCTACCTGAAACACAGATCTTTCCTGGTTTGCCAAAAGCACCTAAACCAATAGGCAGAGATTTTAATTTTCTATGTGCTGCTTAAGAAAACGGCCTTTACTAAAATTACTACAAGAAATTGCTTAGCAGTTTCAATCTCTATACTAGTCTATAGACCTGGTGAAAATCTATAAACACTGAAGTGAGCTATGTGTTATAACTACTGTATATATAAATAACTGTAGCTTGACTTCCTTTTGTATTGTTTTAAAAGTCCTGGGAGAACATAAATGGTAAAGGAAATAGCTCAAGTCTTTTTCTTTACTTCAGTTCACCTACTCCAGTTTGCCTCTCTGAGGACTTCTCCAACAACTTCCAAATATAATATGTACAGAACACATGCACACTCTTTTCCGTTGGCATCTGTATAGTCTGGGAACAGTTTTCAAAATAACACACAGCAAAACAGGACACTACTAGGCTACAATAACGATGCATTCCTTCTTTATGGCTCTCTTGTAAAAAGGAGGCTTTTGAAAACATTTGTGTGTGGTGGCGGCTCTCTATAACCTACACTTCTTAAAAGCCTGAAATTCTCTTACCTACCTGAGAGGTCAAACTGAGTGGAGAAGCAACTTAGGTAGTTAAGTGGCTGGCAAAATGGCAGAGCCATTGGGGGGGTGTACTTGTGCAAAATATAAGCCATTAAAAACATATCTAGCAACGTTGTGTGTGGAAATTATAAATAATGGAATAAATCCAATTGCTAGTCCCTGCTGGAGGAGAATTTACTGTATTAATGAGATTAACATACAGGTAAGTGTTCAGAGCTACTTTAAAAAGCTGCAAACAAGGCAGATTGCTAATTTCATCTCCTTTCTCTGCTAGTTAACCCAGGGAAACCTAACTTCCCAGATGCAACTTCATAGAGGACCCATTTGCACTTCTCTTGCTGTGTAGTCATAACCATGATTACAATCTGTGGGAAACCAACTGCTTCTTACTATTTTTAAAAAGTTTCAGTTTCTCTCCAAATTAAGAATTTGGGAAGAGGTAACTGAACAGGGGGATGCAAGGATTTTGTAGCCTAGCTAGCATCTATTTTTTTTCGAGAGGAATGCATAAAATCAAAAAGGACTTCTGTCTGTAACTATCACAAAAGGCAAGGCAAGTTCAAGGGGTGGCTCATTTTCACCCCTTATTTTATCCTATCCTCTTAAGAACAAGCCACCTAGAGTGGTCGCAATGACCAGATAGGCG